CATGTCTCTGAGCCCCAGCTTCGTCACCAGCCAATGGGACGGATGATGACTGTGCACAGTGCCCACAGCAGCTGCAGAGACCCCCGGGGTCACACACACCAAAGTGCTGAGCTGTGGAAGTGGCTGGAAACAACGGTTCCTATTAGTGCTTTCTAGTTCCTACAGAATTTGGGATCCTGCCGGATTCCAGCCTTTGACGGTGGAATATTCCAGCACCGCCCAGTTGTAACAAGCCTTGGCCTAGGCCCCAGGAGGCTCGGTGTCCCCCGCAGGCCTTGCCACGGAGCGGCTGCGTGAGCTCCGCCAGTCCCTTTCTCTCTGTGGCTCCAGTTTTCTGGGCTGCACAATGAGGCGCTGGAGGAGACAGAAGGTTCTTACAAAACCCTCGAGCTGGCCAGGCTGGAGAATCCACAATCCCAGATCCTTGCATCCAGAAGGAGACACCTAGAGGCAGGCTGCACCCACAGCGCTCGCTGCCAGAGACAGGCAATTAAATCACTCCAGCCTGGGTTTGCCCGACTCGTCCAGCCCCCAGTAGCATAAAAGCTACAGGGCAAAACCCCAAGCTGAAAGACAGGCACCCACGGCACAGCTCCCATGGTTTCGTGAGTACCCACCATGTGCAAGGAGCCGTGCCAGACGCTTCACGGAAGCCAGCCTCAATATCATGAAGAAATCAAAACAGAGCAAAACAAGGATGATCACCACACTGGCTAGTACGTGCTGAGCGCTTACAACCTACTAGGCACGGCTTCGAGCAGCACACATGCATGCTTTGACGTCACCCTTGAAACGCAGCCAGTCATGTCATCTCTGACTTACAGACAAGAGCAGTAAATTGTCCAAGGAGGAAGTGGGGCTGGGATGGACACCCAGGGTCTCCAGCCTCTCCGTGGAGAGCCCCGGGAGTCACCAAAGTCGCAGAATCAGATAGGAGAGCTGACCCCATCTGTGTATGGGGACGAAACCAAGAGGAAGTAACGAGGAACCCCAGCTGGCGGCAGATAAAGTCCTGGGGGAGGTTTCAGAGAAAGAGGAACTCCCCTGGAGCAGGAGGCACAGAGGTTGAACCCCAAAGGATGAGCACAGTGTGGACGCAGGCAGGCGGGGAGGGACAGCGAAGGGCACCTGGGACGGCAGGCGTGGCACGGGCCACAGAGCAGAGATGAGGGTTTAACTGAGGGCACGGAGCCTTTCTCAGCCTGAGCCAGGCTGCACGTGAATGGGTGCCGCCCAAGCCACACGCGGCCTGGTGCTCAGATGCTGCGGGGGGGTGGGGGGGGGAGCTGGTGCAAACGTGGCCCAGCGTGGGGTGGGTGACCCGGGGGTGCCAGGGCTCTTGGCCAGCCAGCACTGCCTCGGTCAGCTGGTGGCAAGCCGGGTTATCCTGCAGCATCTCCACGGGCTGGCTTGTTGGGAAACCCGGAGCAGAAGCAAGCCGGGGGCTGGGGAATGCGCGCAGGCCCTGCTGCAGCTTTTTTGTTTTTTAGAGAAAACTTGGGCCAACGGCTCACCAGTCTCGAGCTGGGGAGCGACATGACGTAGCTGTGTTGACAAGCCAGAAACCAGAGCGCATGCAAAAAGGCAGGGAGGGAGGGGGCCCCTTCCATCAGTCCAAGACTCCAAATAAGAAAATAACCTGTCGCACGGAGCCATTGGAAGCAGCGAGCGAGTACGTGTGGGATCCGTACAACGCTTTTAGACTGCCTTCCTCTCCCACACCCCCTCTCCATCTGTCGCAAAGGGCACCAGGAAGACGCACGGAGGAATATTCCAGCTCTGGGGGCCCCAGAGCCCGGCAGCCCAGATGGGGGGCTCTCAGCCACAGCGCTCCCAGGCGGCATCGGCTGTGAGGGCCGAAGGGCTGTCAGTGTTTCCACCCTCAGCAGGCTTTCCGGGACGCGCCTGTGAGTCAGCCGGAGACTTCTGCCCAGAGCGGGAGCTTTGCACAACCCTCCACGTGAGCCAGGAGGGAGTTCCTTTCAACTCCTACAGCTCGGCCCCAGCCGTCCTGGTTCAGCCGCTCCACTTCCCTCCCGGCTCCCCCCGGCTCCCCCCGGCTCCCCCCACCTCCCAGGCAGGAAGGCCTGTGTTCAAAGTCCCTGGGGTCAGTTCCCACCCCCATTTCCTCATCTGCAAAATGGGGCGAAGAGCTGACTCCTGCAAGGCTGATGAACGAGACTCTGCACATCCAGCCCACGGCCCCGGGGCACAGGTTCACCTCCCTTCTCCCCATGCCTGGGTCACACCAGGACTTCATACATCCATGACCCCGAGTAAGGTTGGTAAAGGCACAAGAAGAGCCAGAAATACCCAGAGAACATGACAGTCTAAAGGGACTCGCGGCAGCCTGAGCCTGGCAGAGCCACGGCCCCCCTTCCCCTCGCTCTTCTTATGAAAGAGGAAGTGAGATTACCACCACCACTTAGGAAAGTCCAGAGGAGCGGGCAGCACACCGCCCCCACTGAAGGGCACGGCTCCAGCTAGGAGCTATGCCGCCCCCTGAACCTCATCCCCAGCTGGCCTTGGCTTTCTCCAGGCCAGAGGGAAGGCAGCAACTGGGAGGTCACCCAGAGGTCCCGGGCCAGGGTGAGGCCAAGCGCCCCGAACGTCGTCGGCAGGTGCAGGGGCAGGCCCCGTGGCCACCTCAACAGGCTGCCCAGGCCCAGGTGTCCCCGAGCCCCGGCCCCCCACCCCCCGCACAGTGCATCTGTGTTAGGAAGCAGGCCTCGCGCTCGCTCCGCGAACATGGGGTGGTGACTTCACCAGTGTCTTTTTAGAATTTCCCTTTGGCAGCATTTGCGCTGAAGGCAATCTTTAGAAACTTCTTCCCCTGCCTTCCCCAACCCAGAACATCCACATGACCAGCTCTCCCCACAACGGTGATCATGTGAAGGCACAGCAGTCACGTGACACCCCCCCCCCAAGGCTGACAGCGTTGCCTGAGACGCTGGGAGTCCGTCAATCCACGGCCACCTTCCAAAGCCTGACATTTGAGTTTCCTACTCGAACAAATCCATCTTCTTAGGAAATAGGACAACTTCCCTCTTCCACCACCCTGCCCTTCTCTCGGCTCTCTCTTCTGCTCTGTGGTAAATTCCAGGCCCTGAGTACAGTCCCATCCCTCCGTCCACATAAGTGAATTCCATGCCTGGGGCCAAAGGCAGGGACCAGGACCCCCGGGGAACCCACACTGAAGGATGCTGGGAGGCTGGAGCGGTGACAGCCACAGCCCAGCCCTCCCGTGTCACCCTCATGCACGCAACTCATCCTCACCTCCTAAGATTTATCTATCTCAAAGTTAATCTGGGCCCCTCTGCCGCTCCCACTTTTTCAGGCTATTGATGCTGAATGGATTGGAACGGAAGTTTTATGGCCCAATCTTTACCATTTTATAGATTGTTTTTATAGGCAAAAGGGAGAGAGCGGCTTGAAAGCAAGGTGTCGGCGTCCCCAGCTGGAGCCCCGGGAGAGGCAGGCTGCCGGGCTGAACGCTCGCTCACCAGTGTCACTGGTCATCTGCCTGGGGTGGAACCAGAGGGTCCCAGATGCAGACATGCAGAAATGAACTTGTGTCCCCCGGTGCCTGGCTTCCGGAAAAATCAAGCCCTTGTGAGAGCCACTCCTGCGATTCCAAGCCAGGAAGGCTGGCAGGGCAGGAACTTGGACTTTTGCAGGGTGCTAATGGCCGGCGCTGGCAGGAAGGAACAGATCCGAGATGTCACTCACCAGAGAGACATGGAATTTATCAGGGCTTCCTTCTGCCAGACAAGGGCCCAAGTGTAACTGCAAAGGCTGGGATGGGCTGGGGGCGGGGCAGGGGGGAGCGTGTGGATTCTGAGTTCATGGGAAACTGCAGGGTAGGCCCACTGTCCACCCCCACTTCTCCTTCCACCCACTCTTTGCTAGTTCTCCTTCTCACTGCTATCAGATGGTTACCATCTCCCAGCAAAGCCAAGAGTGGGGTGGGGGTGGGCACTGAGCTCCTCTTTAACTCCCTCCTCAAGGGTGGGAGGTACAAGGACCCCTCTGCCTATATCCCAGCTCCAAGAGGCAGAAAAACAAGATCCCCCTTCTCCTCTCCCCCATCCCCGGGCCCCGGCCCTGGTTAATTTAACACCAGTCCTTGCCCCTCCATCCCACACCCTCCCAGGAGCCCCGCGGTTTGGCGAAACCCTTTTAAGAAGCAGGACTTCTGAATGGTGACCTCACCCCTTGGCGAACACACACAGTAGCCTTCAGAGCTGGCCTGCGGGGGCCGGCCAGGTGTATGATGTAGGCCAACAAAAAGGCGTGCTCAGAGCCACAGGTAACAGCCCCTCGGAGCACCTGCGCTGCAGGGAGGCTGCCTGGAAGCCTCCTAAGGAAGGAGGGGGGAGGGGGACAGCTTGGTGGGGGGAGACCAGCCAGCCAGCAGCTCTGGCAACCACAGGGACAATCGGCTGCGTCTTCCCTGGGATCTGTTGATGGCAGCAGCTCGCCCGGGCCTCCCTCCCCGTGCACACACAAACACCACTTGACTCTGAGCACCAGAGGGAGAGCGCACTCTTCCCCCATTGCAACAGCCTGTTTCTGTTCCATTCCAGGCGGCACCGGGAACCTCGCCCCCCACCCCTCTCTCCCAGCCTGAAGTCAAACATGCAGAGGGAGAGGGTCTTCTGGGGAGCCCCGGATGCCTGCTCCCATAGCAGCTGGGCAGGGCTGGGGTGAACCAACTCATCCCTGTGTCCCGGTGCCCAGCGCTGTGCCACACTGGCACAGCCCACAGAGAGGGACGCTGCCGGGGACAGCTCTATCCTTGGGGTCCATCCTTGGCTGTGTGACCTTGGGCAAGTCGCTGGCCCTCTCTGGGCCTCAGTTTCCGCACCTGTATCCCTGGGTTACAGGCATCTCTCCCCCTAGTAATGCCAGATCTTAGCCGAGTGGCTCCCAGCGGCAGTCTGGGAGGCCTGAGCCCGCAGTTCGCGGAAGGCAGCCGAGGGGAGCTGGGGAGTGCTTACCTGACCCGGCGCAGGACGCGGCGAGCAGCAGGCAGAGCAGCGGCCCGAGGCGGCCGGGGGCCGGGCCGGCGGGCTCCATGGGCCGCGGCTGCGGAGCGAGGAGGGAGAGCGGCCGTGAGTGCGCGCTCGGGCGGGCGCAGGCTGGAGCGGGGAAATGACTAAGGCTCCCCCCCCTCCTCTCCCCGCCCGGCCGGGCTCCCCCCCCTTTCCCCGGAACGGGCGCCCGGAGCGGCTTAGGAGCCCCCGGCGCCGCCACGGTTTTCGGAGGAGCCACCCCTCCGCCCCCCAGGAAAGCTCGGCAGACGGGGAGGGGCAGAGACCCCGAGAGCGCCAGAAGCGAAGGCAGGAACGGCCAGGGAGAGCGGCAGGAGCGAGAAGCAGACCCAAGGGAGCCAGGCAGAGAGCCAGAGACAGAGAGAGGCGCGAGAGGGGGAGAAAGCGAGCGAGCGAGCGAGCGAGGGAGAGCGCGCGGGGCGGCGCAGAGCGAGACAGACAGCGCGGGAGAGAGGACGCGAGCGCAGGGCGCGGGGCAGCGGCCGAACCCGCCGCGCGGGGCCGCCCCCGCCACGGCCCACCCGCCCCGCCCGGGCTCCTCGCGGCGCCGGCGGCTAGCTCGCTCCCGGCCCGCAGTCCCGGCCGCTGCCCCCGCCCTCCCGGCAGCCCGGCCCCCTCCCGCCCGCGCTCCCCGCCTCCCGCCCGCCCCGCCAGGCTGCGGGGCTCCGGCCCCGCCGGCACCTTCTCTGCGATCGCCCGCCCGCGCCCCCGCCAGCGGCGCGCCCCAGGGGAGGGAGCGAGGGCTGCGCGCCGCGAGCCCGGCCCGGGAAGGCAGCGGCGGCCCCCGCGCCGCGCCGCGCAGGGGGCCCCAACACCCCCGCGCGGGGCACGGCTGCAGCCCCCGGCGCAGCCCGCGGGGCTCGGGACCGCACGAGCAGCCGCCGATGCGGGCCAGGGGGGAAGCCCGCGCGCTCGCCCCCCGCCCCGGAGCGCCCGCCTCGGAGCGCCTCCCACTCCCACCAGCCTGTACCTCCGCCGCGCGCGGAGCTGGAAGGCCGGGAGGCGCAGCTGGAGGCTGCCCGGAGGCCGAGCCCGGGCTGCACTTTGCGCAAACTTGTTTTCCTAAGGTCTGCGCCGCGAGCTGGCTACATGGTCCTCTTAAGGTGGACTGGGGAAGTTGCAACCGCCCGCCCCTGCTCCGGACTCCGACCACGGTGGGTCCCGGCTTCCCGCTGGCGAGAGACTGCAGGCGGCGGTGGAGGGGGCAGTGGCGGGGCCGGGGACGTGTTTGCGGTCTCGCCCTGCCCAGGCGGCCCTGCCCCTGTGCCCCAAAGCTGAAGACCCCACTTGGGGATGAGGGTGGGGGTGGGCCGGGGGACCTGAGTCTTTCGGAGCCCGGCCGAGGTGGAGAAAAAGCAGGAAGTAAGTGAGGGTAGGGGGAAGGGGAGAGGAGAGAGAGAGATGATGGTACAAAAATAGCGTGTGAGTAGGAAGGACTCCAGTGCCGCCTGGAAGAGAGGCGCAGGAGAGGGAGGAGAGGGGCAGGAAGGGAGAGGGGGCCGGTCCGGGCCCCTTCCCGGGAGGTGGGTTCCTTCTGAGCAGGTGCTCTGGGTCCAGGAGGGCAGAATCAGGGAGGGGAAGGCCCGGGCAGGGAGGACCTGGAGGCCTGGGCTCCAGAAAAGTCAGGGAATGGGGGGGGGGGGGGCAGACGCAGCCTCTTTCCCGCGGAGAAAGCTCCCGTGCCCTGGGGAGTGCAGGTCCGGCCAGGCTGCTAGGGCATCTGGTGGAAGAGGGCCAGCACCAGGTTGGAAGGGAGCACAAGGCCCTCTGCTAATTGGAGGGTCTCTGAGCTGGCCATCAGCTTGGGCACAGCCAGCTTCCTTTCACACGGGGGCAGTGGCGAGGAAGTGAATGAACCAAGTCTCAGAGGGAGGCCTGGCTCTGTGTGGACAGAGCAGAGGGAGCTGAGGCCCAGAGAGGGCATATGCTTGCCGCAGGCCACACAGCAAGGCCTGGGGTAGAAGCAAGGCTCTCAGGCCACAGACCTTTGCAGTGGTCTCCCTCCCGCAGTCTGGCCTGCTGGTCAAATCCTGATCCTGATTGAAGACAGGTGCAGTTGTTGGGACCACGGGGCAGGCTCCCTGGGTTGAAGGCCTCCGGCCGCCTCTCAGGAGCTAGCCCTGGCCTCATCCTTGGGGTGCCCCAGCTTCATCATCGGGAGGGAAACCCACGCGAGTGAGAACCCAGAAAGTCCACAGCGAGGCTCAGACGAAAGGACATGCTGGTGCCACCCGAGCAAGCATGACGCGAGCACGTGATAAACGCCCAACACGTTTGACGACCATCCCAGCGACCCCACTGGGCCGTACAAGGGAATGTTCATTTCTTTGGGAGTGGGAGATGACAGCAGCAGCCCTCACACAGGCCCCTGCGGCCCGGGAACTTCCATTCGAGAAGGGAGATGGACAAGTAGGCGAGTAGAAATAACTAAGGAACACCAGAAGATTGAGATCAGAGCGTGAGAAGAGATGAGCTCATTTAGGTAAGGGGCGCCAGGTAAGCCCCCCGCCCCCAAGAAACTGGGAGCTGAATCGCAACGAGATATTCCAGGAAGACTGAGGGACACCACAGATAAAGGCCCCCCAACCCAGGCTGGCTCCGTGGGGGTGGGGGATAAAGGGTGGTAGTTGGTGGTCTCGCTGAAGCCCAGGTAAAGAACCTGTGTTTAGGTTCAGCCCCTGCCTGCTACGGCTATCACCCCAGAGCAGAGTCCCAGCTACTCCACTTTCAATCCGGCTCCCTTCTAATGCTCCCAGGGGAAGCAGCAGAAGATGGCCCAAGTCCTTGGGCCCCTGCTCTGCATGTGGGAGAGCTGAGTGGAGTTCCAGGCTCCTGGCTTCGGCCTGGCCCAGCCCTGGTTGTTATGGTCATTTGGAGAGCGAACTAGAGGGTGGAAGACCTCTCTGTGTATCTCTTTCCCTCTCTCTCTGTTACTCTACCTTTCAAATAAATACATAAATATTTTTATTTTATTTTTTATTTATTTGAAAGTCAGAGTTACAGAGAGAGGAGAGGTGGAAAGAAAGAGAGAGGTCTTCCATCCGCTGGTTCACTCCCCAATTGGCCGCAACGGCTGGTGCTGAGCTGATCCAAAACCAGGAGCCAGGAGCTTCCTCTGGGTCTCCCACATGGGTGCAGGGGCCCAAGGACATGGGCCATCTTCTGCTGCTTTCCCAGGCCATAGCAGAGAGCTGGATCAGAAGTGGAGCAGCTGCGTCTCGAACTAGCGCCCATATGGGATGCCGATGCTTCAGGCCAGGGTTTTAACACACTGTACCACAGCGCTGGCCCCCGTAAATCTTTTTAAAAAGGAAAGAAGGAACCTATGTTTAGTGTGCAAGTGGGAAAATGCTGGAGGGTTTGGGGTGGGGGAGCAGCGGGTCTGATGGATGCATTCAAGGCTCCTCTCCGAGAGGTGTCATACAATCAGGGCACGGGGAGGAAAGAGATTGCTCTGCGGTGATCCTGGCTTCTGCGAAGACCGGACAAAGTCCCAGCTTTTCAGTCTGCATCAGTCCAGCACCACAGTGCATCTATGGTGGGAGTAGGGGTTGGGGATGCCCCTGAGGCCGGAGGTGAGTTGGCCTCCTGTCCTGGGCTTCCAGAAGGCTCTGTGGCTCCCCGTGTCCAGGACACACACACACACACACACACATACACACACACACACGTAGACCTGCCTGGGATTAGGAAACCGGGGATTAGGAAGGATAATAATGGAACCACCTGCTGGTTATAAATAGCAGCTTTGTCTGAAGGCGCTCAGTGGGGCTTCCCAACAAGGGGGCCTCCTGGGCCTTGTTCTCTGTCCATGTGGAAGTCACTTGTGTCTGACCAAGAGGGCTGAGAGGTCATTAGAGACCAGTGGGGCAGTCGGGGAAACTGAGGGTGGGTGGGCATGCCTCTTTCTGGAGCTCACACAGAGAGGTTAGGGCAGATGATTGGTATGAATCAGCCAGCCTGGGAGCCAGCAGCCTGGGCTGTGTGAGTTTCAGATCTCACTGTGGGGGCTGGCGCTGTGGCACAGCGAGTTAACCCACTGTCGGGAATACCAGCATCCCATGTGAGCTCCAGTTCAAGTCCCAACAGCTCCACTTCCGATCCAGCTCCCTGCTAAAGAGCCTGGGAAAGCAGTGGAAGATGGCGCCAAGTGCTTGGGTCCCTGCATTTGTGTGGGAGAACAGGATGGAGTTTCTGGCTTCTGCCTGGCCCAGCCCTGGCTGTTGCAGTCATTTGAAGAGTGAACCAGTAAATGGAAGATTGTGTGTGTGGGGTGTGTGTGTGTGTGTGTGTGTGTGTAACTCTACCTTTCATGTAAATAAATAAGTGTTAAAAGAGAGGAAAAGAAAAGAAAGTGGATTAGGAAAGGTATTCCAAGGAGATGAGAAGGGAAGCCAGAGGCAAATCTGGTTGACTCCCTGCTACCTCTGGAGGGCAGTCCCACGCGGCTGGCCCGTGCTCCCCACCGTCACCTCTGGGTGATCCATTGCCACCTGTCCATGTGTCACATTAGGTCCTTGCCCCTTGGTCAGGGATCTGCTGGAAGAAGCCTCGAATGAGGACCCAGAGGGACAGCTCAGGGACTTTGAAGCTGAGGCTCTGCCAATCTGATGCATGCAGGTTGGGCAAAGAAAAGGAACATAGTTTTCTGTAGTTTTTTTGTTTGTTTGATCCTGGGTCTGTGGCCTAGGAGTGACAAGGAAAACACTGACCTGAGAGGTCATAGGGGCACGCAAGTGAAAGCGACTGTGTGTGTGTGTGCATGTGTATGTGTATTGTACGTGTGTGCACACGCGTGTGTGTGTCTGGAGCTTGCCTCTGCTGGCATGGAAGTGGCGTCCTTGTGGATGGCAGGCCCTACCATCCACAAGGCTGCCTGCAAAAGTCTGGGGAAAATGGAATGACAGCTCAGCGTGTCCTGGTGGGAAAACCTTTGGAAATGCACGCATAGCTTTTTCATAATCTGCATTTTTCCTTGAGCTTTTTGAAGACCCCCACCCCACCCCATATGCATGGACTTTGCACGTTTTGCACCAAAAGGAGCTGATGTTTTCAGTCCCCTTTCTAAGAGCTGTCTGAAGAACCCTCATACAGTATCTCCTGGAAGTCCCACCAGCTCCCCTGGAGTCCCACAGGCACAGAAACAAACTTGACCAGGGGCTGGACCACGAAGGAACCTGCAGGGGCCCGGCTCGGCCTGGCACCAGCCCTGCCAGGCTCTGCGCGTCTCTTCCCGTGGCCCTGGGCTGGCGTCAGCAGGCAGGCCCACGGGGCCGCCTTTGTGTGGGGCCTGTCAGGAGGCTGGAGTTGCCAACGACCTATTTTTCTGGGCAAGAGGAGCCATTTGGAGTTAGAAGCCTCAGCTGTGGAGCCAGAACAATCAAAATAAAAACAGCCTGGAGTCCCGGGGAAGCCTCCGAGGAGGCTGCCGGCCAGGCTGGAGGAAAAGCAGGGTTGGGGGCCGAGGGGGGAGAGAATTCCCGGAGCCCCGGTCCTGCTCTCCGACCCTTCCGTGGCTTACTTCCAAAGCTCACAACAGCCCCTCTCCCTGCGTGGCTGTT